TAACTGGATAATATCGTTTGCATACTTCAAGTCAACTAGATGGCCTTCCAGAAAGTAGGTCAGTTCCTGTGAAGTCAGACGTACGTAAGGTTATATCCATTAGTATGTCTATGATGAAGTTAAATAGGAACAGTGATAGTGGGCATCCTAGAAGAATGCCATATTGTTTCTCGATTTCAAAGGTAGCCAGTGTGAATACGACAAAACGGTAGTAATGTGTCACCCATTCAGATGGTAGTTGGGCAAAAACTCTTGGTCAACAGTCGAACCTCGTAGCTCTCAGTTGGTAGATCATCAAACCTGGGTCTCAGTGACAGCTGGTCCAAATCCGGTGGCAGTTCAAATTTTCATCTCACCTTCAATCATCAGCCAGTATAAAAGAATTAATCATCTAAGACATTGGCCATCTAGTTCTGTACATGAAGTTGGATTTGTTGACAGAACAAGAAATAACCAGCCTAGGTCTTCTGATCATTCACTAACACTTGAAATTTCCTTGCATGGGAAATTCGTTGTATAGTCTTGCATATATTCCGAGCGGTGATAGTACGCCCGCTTAACTGACAGCTAATTTCTTACACAAGACTCACCGATTCCAATCCAGGACTGAGCTGGATCTGAGAGTTTATTCCTCCCACGACGAATGATCAATAAACACAAACACACCTGTGTGTGTGTGTGTGTGTTCGTATGCACACATGAGGTATGACCTTGTCCGTAAATTGAGACATTAACATGGTAAAAGTCAGCATTAACCAATCAGCGAATTACCTTGAAAATGGAGGCCGAATAATAAAGTGGCGCGAAAATGACAATTTAAAATGTTCAGATTGATAAACAATGTTCTTATGCAAATCTGGAGTCTTTCAACAGATGAATAATCAGAGCTTCTAAATTAATACTTTGCATAACATTCTCTTCTCATGTAAACTGGTTGCCTTCAACCATTGTGTCACTGGTTCGAACCCCGCTCCACATACTGATGTTTCGGCTGCCAGATAGTGAGTATCTGTTACGCAAAATGCTAATATGATTCTGTGTATCACCAGTTCGCTCAAGTAACTAAACATACTTCATGATTCCTGGCACATCGTTAATAAGCTCGGTTATGAATGTTGGAACTGATCATTCAGTATTGAAGATCAACGGGATTTGGCTAGTGAGGATTGCTGATCAGCGTAAGTGGTCTTTCACCACTGATGTCAATCAGTCGCATGTTTCATGTTGTTTGCATATCTGCATTATATCCTTTGGGTGGGTTGGACTTCTGCTTATACTATTCGAATAAATAAATTTCTACTACGATCGGAGGGTACTGAAGATTCTATCGCTACTACTTCTCTTTGTCTTTGCTTTTCATCTTAAAGTTTGCAGACTGTGGACTGTTTTCGCTTTTCTGACTATCTCAAGTCCCATATCAGTCAGTGCAACAGTATGGTAGCTCCTCAGTGTTATATGACGGTAGATAAACTGACATCATTTGTCTGACCTGTCATTACACAGATAACTGTAGAAGATACCTGTTCAAGTGTCACCTGTACGCCTTGCTCTATCTGAATATCACTGCGCTTGTCTGTGCTTTATCTGCACCAATGAGGCGACCAACTGAACTGAACATAAGATATCTGTAGTTCATGTAACTAATCGTTCTGTGGTCTATCATCCATTTCGCAATGTGGCCATCGTCGGGGAACATTGGCAGAAGTTGGCAATCTTGTAATTTCAGTTTAGTATTCATCATGAACTGACATCAGTGGTAACGTACTGGGCTCGACCCCGGAGTGGGGTCATGGATGCGCACCACTGAGGAGTCCAATACTGAGGTCAAAGCAGCTGCTGTCCAGTGTATACCAACCCGAAGTTACAAGATCCTCTACATTTGTCGATGATTTCAAGGAGTGAATACATCTACGCCACTGTGACCGATTTTCAACCATATGACCAAGACTCTTCAACCGATGATCTCTTCTTTCTTAAAGACCCTAGTCAAGTATTCCCCCTCCCGTATACACGGATTAGACTCACAGTCAAAGACTACTGACTGGTACCACATCTAGGTCTGCCCGTCCTAGCCATTCTCACATTCTAATCCTACTTTGTCTAACACTGCACATCCAGGCAGGCAGTGGATCAGGATGTACAACATATATGATTAGCATTTCAGTTGGCTAAATTCAGCTTAATTCCCCTAGGAGACGAATAACTTGGCTTCAGAAACACACCGACTGTCTAAATACTTAGTTACACTAAATTATTATCCAATTAGAAATAAGTCAGAATCTCAGTTAACTTTGATAGGTGGATGAGGAAAAAAACTAGGCCGCAAATAGACCAATCAAAATGTAAGTTGTGTTAACCACATGGGCAGTTAGATTGACAGACGATCGATCAACCAATCAATATTATTATTTTTAAATGTCGGACCATTATTATATTATTTGTCCCTTGAGTTCCTAATGGAACATAGGGCTTCAGTAGCATGTCTCTAGTGCACTCTGTTCTCTGAAATTTTCTGAACCTGGTTCCACGACAGACCAAAAGCTCTCATTTCTTCTTCACACCATCTCCTCCATGTCACCCTCGCCTCGGATGCCCAACTCGTCGCTTCCCATCTGGGTCCCACTCGACTGCCTGGAATAGACGCGTGATGTCCCCAGTCGGCCTTCTCAATGTATGCCCAATCCATCTCCACTTACTTACAGTGCACATTTGTTCAGCGATAGGTTCTTGCTTCGTTGGTTCGTTGCCAACCAGCCAGCCAGAGTTCATTGGTGGTTATTCTTATTATTCTGGCCATGTGATCACCATCTTCAGTAACGAGCAAGTGTAGGTGGCAATTGTTGATGAATGTCTGTAATTTGTTGGAAATTCACTTCGTAACACACCAAGTCTCTGAGCGATACAGAAGCACTGACTTGACGTTGCTGTTGAAAATCCGCATCTTGTTCCACATGCTGAGTGCAGAAGATCTCCACACTGGTTTCAGGTTAACGAACGCCTATCTTGCTTTCTTTCCGATCCTGGCTGGCTTTGACGTCATCGTCTGTTCCGCCTGTAACTGAAACAGTGCTTCCTAGATAGGTGAAGGAGGCTACTTCCTTTAACTTTCTCCCATTGATGGTGATTGGAACTTGTTGTTTTTGGTAGTGGTGTTGGTTGGGTATCTTCATCACCTCAATCTTCTCTACGTTCACTTGAAGGAATTGTCGTCTTCGCTGCCCTGCCCTGCCCTGCCTCTTCTGTCAACTTGTTAGTTTTCGTGTGTAGATCTTCAAGTTTGTGTGACATTAGACATAAGTCATCATCGGCGAAATCCAAATGTAGGATCTTTTCCCCTGTCCAGCCAGGGTATGCCCCTCTTCTCGCTCCTCACTGTTTGTTGCATAACGCAGTCCACTACCATCAGGAATATCATGGGTGATAGTAGGTGGCAGCCTTATCTTACTTCTGTCTTCACTTTAAAGGCATCACTGAGCTTCCCATTATGAATTACTTGGGATGTGGCGTCTTCATATGGTTGTTGAATGAGATTGATAAAGGTTTGTGGTATTCTGTAGTGTTGAAGCAACTGTCTTCCAAACTACTTGTCTGTCGACGCTGTCGAAGGCATTTTCAAAGTCGATGAAGTTGAGGTAGTGGTATAGTTGACTGCCATTCTATATTGTGTTGTATGATGATGCGTAGCGTTGCAATTTGATCTTGACATGATTTGTACTTCCTGAAACCAGCCCTTTGTGGACGTAGTTTTGAATCCAGCGGATGCTTTAGTCTCTCCAGGATGACGCGGCATAATATTTCGCTTGGGGTGGACAGGATTCCGCACCGGTTCTTGCAAAGACTTAGGTCTCTGTTATTCGGGAGTTTGACAAGATAGCCCTTCTTCCAATCACCAGGTACCTTCCCTCCCTTCCACACCTTCTGCAATAGTGGTGTGAGCATGTCCGCTGTTGTCTCTGAGTCTGCTCTCAGCGCTTCTGGCGGGATTGCATCTGGTCCTGCTGCTTTCCCGCATTTCAGTAGCTTTATGGCGCTCAGGACTTCCGCTTTTCTTGGAGGATTTGTGTTCACTTGTAGTTCTGTGGCTGCAGGTGGTATTTCTGGATGAAGTGCAGGTGGTGGTCTATTCAAGATCTTTTCGAAGTGGTCACCCCATTATTTCCTTTATTTCTCTTCTTTGTTAATTAAATTTCCTTCATCATCTTTTATTGGTTTCATCTGTGTTGATTTCTCTGTTCGCAGATAGTAATCTGATTGATAATGATTATATTAAGGCATATTCTCCTTTCTTAGTCGTTTGAGTCGGGTTAGGAATTAACTAGAAAGTTTTTGAACGTCGTTGATGGTTGACAATCGCATCATTATCGACATACAGCAGTTTGAAATCACAATAAACTTATCCTTTTGCAATGAAACAGATTTGGGAGAAATAGAGAGAGAGAGGGAAAGTAGTCAGTTGCTATGTGACAAGTTTATTATCTCCTACTCTGAATACCTTACGGGTTCTAGTGTGAAAATGTAAATTCCCTATACAATTGTCTTTTTATAAGACAAGATAATGAAATATACTACTGAGCAGCATAAGTTATTAGGTACTCTTCTCGCTGATCTGTAGATTCGAGCAATTCAGTTATATGTCAACTGACTTTGTACAAGGTTACCTCACTGATGTAACTGCTTGGTGAAATATTACAGACAAGCTAGAGTGCTTTCTAACTACTCAATCTCTTCAGTAGTATGTTTCATTAGTTTCTTACACTTTATCGCAAAGATCATATCTTGGCCCATGGGATACATTATAGTTTGGTCAGTTGGTCACTACTCCATGTCAAATACGCAATACTGAGAAGAAAAAAAGAGTTTTATCTTTTTCCTTCCTAATATAGGAAATTACTTCAGTGAAATCTGGATCAAAGTTACAACACCACAACTCTCATCATCATCAACAGCATCAACGTGGTTCATCAAAAATTGGACAAAAAATAAAAATTGATCCCTTAAAAATGGTTCATCATCAAGAATTAGCCTATAATGCTAAAGATGTATGCATATTGAATCAAGGTAAGTGTAAAAGATTATTAAAAGTTGGATAGTTGACAAACATTTCAATGTCATGAGTTCTTCTAGTCAACAATTTGTTACGACCTCTGTCTGACTGTAATGAAGTTAAGCACGTGATTCGGTTAATTCCACAGTAGTGCTGACCTTGAATGTGATTGGTTTGAAACGTCTTTGATTAGTCTTGTATATTTAAAGTTGTTATTCATCGTAGACTGACATCAGTTGGAGAAACAAAGGAGACATGGGAGCACTGGACAGCTGCCGTTTCGTCCAACTAGTATGGGACTCCTCAGCGGTGCGCACCCACAACCTCGCACCACCAAGGATCGAACTCGCGACCTTCGGGTCCCGCAGCCAGCGCGTTACCATTGAGCTAGCCACTGGGTCACAATGCAATGGTACATATTTCCAACTTCTGTTAGCTCACGATATAGCTCAATCGCCACCCAATGTCATCGTTGAGTAACTGTCCTCATGACCATCGGGCTTTGACTCAACCGGCGGCTACGCTACAGAAGTTGGACATACGGAGCATTGGATTCTGACCCAGTGGCTAGCTCAATGGTAACGCGCTGGCTGCGGGACCCGAAAGTCGCGAGTTTGATCCCTGGTGGTGCGGGGTAGTGGGTGCGCACCGCTGAGGAGTCCCATACTAGTTGGACGAAACAGCTGTCCAATGCTCCTAGGTTTCCTTTGTTCCTCCAACTGATGTCAGTCTACGATGAATTACAACTTGAAATATTTCCAAATCTCCACAACTCCCTCATAACAGTCTTGTACATGTATACGTGAAAACTAACAAGTTGTCAGAGGAGGCAGGGGAGTGAAGACGGGACTTCAAGTGAATATAGAGAAGAGCGAGGTGATGAAGATACCCAACCAACAACAACAAACCCCAGTCACCATCAACGGGAGAAACTTAAAGGAAGTAGCCTCCTTCACCTATCTAGGAAGCACTGTTTCAACTACAGGTAGCACTGACGAGGATGTCGAAGTCAGAATCGGAAAAGTAAGACAGGCGTTCATTAGCCTGAAACCAGTGTGCAGATCTTCTGCACTCAGCATGTGGAACAAGATCCGAATTTTCAACACCAACGTCAAGTCAGTGCTTCTGTATGGTTCAGAGACTTGGCGCGTTACGAAAGGGATTTCCAACAAATTACAGACATTCATCAACAATTGCCACCTACACTTGCTCGTTACTGAAGATGGTGATCACATGGCCAGAATAATAAGAATAACCACCAATGAACTCTGGCTGGCTGGTTGGCAACGAACCAACGAGGCAAGAACCTATCGCTGAACAAATATGCACTGTAAGTAAGTGGAGATGGATTGGGCATACATTGAGAAGGCCGACTGGGGACATCACACGTCAGGCCAGGCAGTCGAGTGGGACCCAGATGGGAAGCGACGAGTTGGGCATCCGAGGCGAGGTTGGCATGGAGGAGATGATGTGAGGAAGAAATGAGATATTCTTATGGAGGTTTCCCTCTCATCACCAGGTTACACAGACGTTGACCCAATCACAGGTGAATTTTCTTTAGATCTAGAATATGCAGATGACATAGTCCTGTTAAGTGAAGACGCTGACTGATGAGATACAGAGTCTTCTGAACACTTTCAGTGGGAATTTGGGATTTTTTGGGATGCGATTTTCACCACCCAAATGCAAATTTTTGCTCCAGGACTGGTCTTCAGCGGTACCGCGGCTAACAATAGAGAGTGAAGTGGTTGAGTGTGTTGACCACTTCACTTACCTGGGAAGTAGGATCAACCCTGGTGGCTAGCTCAGTGGCCGATGAGATTTCTGCACGGATACAAAAGGTTCTGTTTGCGCCACCTATGGCACCGCCGTGATATTCGTTTGTCTATTAAGGGTCGCGTGTACTGCACAGCAGTCTGGTCTGTTCTACTGTGTGGTTGTGAAACATGGCCATTGAAAGTGGAAGATATGAGAAGGCTTCAAGTGTTTGACCACATTTGCCTTCGTAATATATGACGTATTCCGTGGTGTCACCATGTGAGTAATGCAGAAGTCAGGTGTAGAGTTTTGGGGAGAAGCGGTAAGTCAGATGGTTGGCTGGGACATGTGTTACGTATGCCTAGTCACCGATTGCCTCGTCACACAATGTTGGCTGAGGTGGGTCCAGGCTGGAAAAAGGCTCGAGGTGGCCAGACTAAAAAATGGCACCAATGTTGGGTGTTGGTTTAAGCCATGTGTGGTGATGCAGACTAGGTGGTTGGGGTCGGTGGGACAAGAGGAACCAGTGCTTGTTGGAGACCCTAGGTGATATGGCTGAGAACCGAAGTCAGTGGCGCAGATGTATCCACACACATTATCCTCATCTTAACAACGCTATACCGAGTCTCACCATTTTGTCACTCCTCTTTCCTTTCTTCTCGTACTTTATATTTCTTTTGACTGCATTCACTTATCTTCATCCTTCACCTCACTACCTTTCTACTTGATGTGCTGATATGAGGTCTGGCAAGTTGGACCGTTATGCAGTAATGCCTGGTCCTATGTTGATAATGATGATTCATCTGTGTTTACGTGTATATATATACTACTTAGTTATCTGACAACAACGTACCATAATTTATATAGATGTAGCAATCAATATACAATGATCATTTCAACTAACCAATGAATCAATCTGATTTTTGTCTATTTGATCGTGAAAAAAAAAAAGTTAAACAATAGTAGGAAACTGAATTGTCTATCAACTCTGAAAAATTCATATTATCCGTGATAAACGAGTCTTCCTTCGCGTAGAGTAAGGTAAATCAATACAACAAAGAATCATGTTTTGCTAAGGGGGTTGGTTACTGTGTGAGTTAAGATTTTTGGTCGGCAAAAATTCCAGTATTATACGTTAGACATCGTGTTATCGATACTTCATAAGGGAATGAAATAGCACCTTAGTTAGAATTGTATCTGTTCAATATGCCATACTTCACAATAATACACAAAGAACAGGTAAGTAGACTGAGAGAGTGATATCAAAGTAAGCGTAGTTGTGTAAGAGAATAAAGAATCTAAAGAGAAAGCAGTAAATACACCTGTGCCATTGTCACTGATTTCCAACCATATCACTAAGAATCAATCCTGAACCAACGATTCCTGTCGTCTTGAAATCCTCAGTTAGGCAGTTGGAACATCCTAACATGTCTTAGACTAATAGTCGCAGACTTCATCGACTGGTTCAAAGTTTTAGTCTAGTCTAGTCTAGTTCAAGCTTATCAAGCTTCTCCTAGCATAGGACGTTGAGGTAGGCAGTGGCTTGGCATGCGCCACATATATCCAAATTATTTCATTCCATTAAGTTTTTGACTTGCCTAAAGCACTGACGAACTGTATCAGCTATCAGCCTCTTCAATAATTCCTTCACTTAGTATTTCTTAAACCTGGAGCCCAACTTCTCCTAAGTGACGTGGTATTCGCTGTGTTATAAACGTTGTCACTGGGATTTCCTGCTGAACCTTTTCACCAGTATCCATAGGGGTTTCCATCTCCTATGAACAATGTTAACCAACTTCATGATGTTTAGTGCTTCTGGGTGTGATGCTTCTGATACCTCAATCTCTGCTATCTCGGTTTTTTTTCATACATGATGAACGACCCGTACTTCATTGTCACTATTCCGCTTCTCGTGTTAATAACTACACCCATCATTCTTATGTACTACCACAGATGAAAACAACTCTAGATTTTGGCAGTCAGCGATCGGAAAGTATCACATGCGGTCACACGCACTAGGCAATGAGTTTCTTTTTCTATATAACAGTAACCTGTTATGATTCGAAAACTACTATGGTCGCTCACAATTCAGGGATATGGACTACCAGTCACCTACATATTCCTAGTTGATTCCATACCCGATTAATTAATGGAGAAGACACGATGGAAACGTGTATTGGGGTCGAAAGATCGAAGAACCCAAGAAAAATAGAAAATATATTCAATACATATATAGATAATCTGGGAGCACTGGACAGCTGTTTCGTTCTAGTATGGGACTCCTCAGCAGTACGCACCCACCGTCACCTGTGGCGTCAACCAACCGGAAGTAAAGTGGATGCTAACCGAAGACCTTGGGTGACAGTCGCGCTATGTCGTGAATTGACAGAAGTTGGAAATTGTGAACCACTGGAGACCGACTGACCCAGTGGGTGAATGGTTAACACGTTCGCCGTGAAACCCGAAGGTTCTGAGTTCGACCCCTGGCCGGGTCGTGGATGCTTACTGCTGAGTAGTCTCATACTAGGACGAAACAGCTGTCCACTCCTCCCAGATTTTCAATGGTTCCCCAACTGATATCAGTCCATGGTGAATACTACTTGTGAATGTAAAAAAAAATCCCCATTCATCTCAAAGATACACCACATATATAGATAATTTGCGTCCAAAATAATACTGCTGATTGGCTGATTCACCATCTGTCTGCCTGTCTAATTGAACACGTGATCACTCAAAGTGCATTTTGATTGGTCCATCTGGAAACTCGTTTTTTTTTCTCTATCCCCATATGAAAATCTGATTGGGTGGAGTGGGATATCAAACTTAATGACTCACTTACTGACCAGTTGAAAGTGCGGAGTATTCAAACCAATGTCCAACAGATCGACTCATAGTAACATGGAGATATTTCATGAATTCGCTACCCTCCTATGTGACAATCGCATGTTGGGGGGAGGAGGGAGGTCCCAGACATATCGGCTGATGAAAGTTCACAATACAGAAAGAATATTTCAAGCTAATGTTAATTTTTTGTTTTTTGTTTTTCAATCTCATTTCATAGGTGAAATTGCAGTCGCTCATTCTGATCGTGTTGTTCGTTTGTATTCATGGTGTTCATTTGAAACTCAGAAATCATCATCATCATCATTATTGACAACTTCTTCGTCAGATTCTCCATCAAATTTAGGTGAATTCATTCTATTAATTAAATGGGAATTAGCTGGTCAGGTAAATATTCTTTGAAATGAATCGCTTTCACGGCTTACTTACTAACTATGAGTTGTTTTTCTTTTGCTATAGGTAGAGTTGATGGAGTTCATCAAAATCTTCAATTGTTACTATGAGTAGTTGTGTTTAAAGGGTTAGAATACTTGCTTAGGGGTCCCCAAGATGCAGTCAATCAGTGGTTGAGAAGACTGACTATTTCAAAGCGTGAATATTCTTGCATACAACTTTATCTTCTCTGATTCATAGTCTTTACTATCCATCTGTTCTTAGTATACAGCGGTGAAGTATGACGTATGTACAAGGTTATACTTTGATTCTGTTTATCTCTTTGCGCCTTTTATAACGTAAACAATCACAGCGTTACATGAATGCTTGTTATATATGATTCCAGGTGGTGATGTTGTTATTCCACGACATGTCCCAATAGAAGAGGCATATTCTCAAAGTTTATCATTCCTATTCCCTGCAGTGTGTTGTAAAGAACAAATGAGTATGAAATGGTTGGTATTTAACTAGACGAAAGTGTACAGAGATGTAGATTTGTACTGAAATGTTCTGATTATCAGTCATGTTACCAAGGCTTTCTAACTATCAACTGTTATTGTTTTGAGAACTCCAAATAGCTCAAACTAACAGTCGGAGACTTCATGTTACGTGTTTTTTTTTGTTGTCACCATGAGGTTTTTTGTTTCAAGTAATCTAACTTTGGTCATCTTTGCATATCACGTCACGGTAGGTGGTGCCTGGTGAAAGTGGAATACGTCGATCAATTAAGGTTCACGAACATCATCGACTAACTTGCCTGCCTGCCTTGTCGACCAAAGTTGTGGCCGAGTGTAGATATCTCAATGACCCAACAAAGCTATACTGATTGGAATATTTTCTCCTTGAGGTTTGTTGGATCTGAAGGCGATATTGTAGTGGTGGCTAACTGGTCGATGACAGCAGTAACTTGTTTCCTCTGAATGACCAGTATTCTCATACTGATACTACCTTCCATATTAGCGGGGAGGTTAGTATTCGAATGTCAAAGGTAATGCATTTTTCTTGTCTGGGTTAGCGCATGAAATGTCAGTCCTACAATCTTGACAAGACTTGGTGTGATTTACATAAGGTTACTCGTTGCATGATAATACATTCGGCATACTGTTGGCATACAATCATTTCTACAACCTTCTGAAATTCTCCTAATTCTTTTGATATCAGTGATGCTCGTAGGACTGTTGTAAAGGTTGGTGATTATCCAGATGGATCATTCACAATAGTAGAGACTGTTCAACATTCAGAGATTGGAAGATATCGTCAGTTTGTGAGGTTGTTTCGAGATTTGGTTGTTCTAATGTTGGATAGAGGAAACCCATACCTTCAGACAGGGATGAATGTGGTATTATTTGGGCTAACCTTTACTAACCCCTACCCCTCTCTGTAGGGAAAGCAGTATTAGCGTAACACTGCTAGTCATCGAAGTGGAACACTTTACTGCTGTTACACCCCATCTATCTGGCAGCAGTACGATTTCGCCCTTTAAAACCCCACATAGTGAGTAATGTCACTCGAACGGTGAACGACTTACATCTTACCACTATCCAACTGACCTTTCTGGCATGGTAAAACTTCCAAGCAACAAGCGTTCCACTACGTGAAGGTACCAGCTGTCGGCTGGCTATGACAGTTGGGAACTACCAACAGGTTCTCTTGAAGTATTATGAACTATCAATGAATCTAACAACAATGCGATGACAAAACTCGATTGTTATCTAACTTAGTCCAATCCTTAAAAAATATCTACTTTCCATAAGAACTATCTGGTGATACATTTTCATTTCTTCTCTCCATGGAAGGATAATTTGAAAGGATAATTTTATTTGACTAGTTGAGGTTGACGAGACGATGGATACACACAAGTGGAAATTGAATTGAAATATACTCACAACCATCTTGTTTATTCATATTCGTGCAGTGGGCCATGAGCTATACCTACACCTATTCTCTGCATGCGTATGGGGAGAGGGGAATGGTACTACCCCTTTGGTTGCCTCAAACCTTGGTTGGTGGAACAGGACTCGAACTTACAACCTACTAGTTGAAAGTCATCTCCCCAAACAAGAATAAGCCACAGCTCCATGCAAGCATAGGTTTAAACTTAAGATGACTACTTTTTTTTCTATTCACAAAGACCGACACAAACGCCAGTAAGACAAATATCAGATGCATTCAGTTGATGAGTCCCAAACAGGACGAAACGCGCATTGTGGATTTCACTGTCGGCTGGGATGCATTGTTACTACCACACAGACACCTACATGTATATTGACATATACAACAACCTATTCAGATATTATACTCTTTATTTTAGGTCAATCGAATTGATACATGTTGGACCCCGAAACATGGTCTAATTGTAAGTAGTTTGAATTTTTGTTGAGTTAACTTACTTGTATTCACTGAACATTTCAAATATTTAGAATACAAGCAATTCTACTAAAAAAAACTATACGCGTCGCACAAGAAGTGACTCGGCGGTGTAGTAGATAACTAACCCTCTGGCAGTTGAAGCGATCACTACTGAGTCCGAATCCCGTTGATGGGGACAACACTCATTGGTAAGTAGGTACATCCAGCTTACTAGTCCTCAACAGGGCGAAACGCGCATTCTGGCTTCCACTATCCATCTTTACAACATTGACAGACCTGGAATTGTGAGATATCTGTAGGTTATCACCATCAAACCAGTAACCAGTTTACAGAGTGTGAATCGACAGTAAAAACAGCAAAGTTGTGTCCAAGCAACAAAAAAAAACATGCTCGAGGCTTCACTATGAAGTAAAAAAGCAAGATAAACAAATAGAGCATCAGTGTACAACGTAGAAGATTGAAGTATCATTACGAACTGTGAACATACCAAAATCTAGAGATGTTAAATAGTGAACGGGATGCTATTGAACAGAATAAACGGTGAAGGATGTAAACGAAACAACATGTTTAGTAAATACTAACTATACTACTTAAAAATACTAAGTAGTATAAAACTGAAGGATAAAAAGATGAGACGAAGGCAGCATCATTATTTCAAGTCATTAGAATTTTGACTGCAGTTGGATTCGAACCAGCGACCATCTCGTAGCTGAGTTGGTAGAGTACCGTGCCAGAAACTCCGTTGATCGGTAGATTGAATCCCTCCGTGGTTCAAATTTTCATTTCACCTTCAATGATCACTTAGTATAAACTCTAAGTAGTGTTTGATGGGATGAATTTTCTTGTTACTGGTAGAGGTGATGATGATGACTTTATTCAACTGTCAAAATGTAATTTGATCCATCATCTTAGTAATCCGAGTGGGTTTATGCATACTGACGCATACTAGTATGTTACTCATTTCAGCAATAGTCAGTCTTCAACTACTGACTCCTTTCATCTCGAAGACGCCATCAAGGTAGTCTACACCTACAGACATGGTTTGGATCAATCGTCAAGGACTTCATTGACCGGTGCCTTGTTTTTGTCTGACTACCTCCAACCCTTTTTCAGCCTAATTCAACTTCTGCTAAAATGGCACAACGAAGCAGTTGATGGCTTGGTATACACAGGACAAAAGAATATTGTCTGCTTACTTTAAGTCAACCAGATGATCTCCGGGGAGTAATTCAATCTGTGTTAAGTCAGTACGTCTATAATGAAGTTATATAAGAACAATGGCTCGGCTGAATGAATTTGAGTAGAGGGCTTTGATTAGCATTATATACTTACTGAGTATACCTTCCGTAGTCAAACACAAATTACAACACCTCATGGTCAACTGAATCAAATGCTACCTTCAGGTAGGGAAATATGGCAAATCTCGGGCCCCAGAATCTGTCAGGTGTTAAAAATATGATTGATGCACCCTTCCCCCCCATGAGGATTTCTTCGCCTTCTTCTAAACTGGGATGATCAATAAACTACAGTATCCTGACGGGAATACCTCCATGATTTCCATACATTACCTTGTAGAGTTAGTTAGTAGTTGTCGAGAAGAATTCTATTCCATATTGTTATCTCGATTGGAAAATGGAGATTTTTGAACCTATATGTAACATACTACTCACAGTGTATATTATTTGTAGTTTCCTGATGACGATGTTGACACCAATTTATGGTGTTGAGCAGATTACATTCTGTGATTTGAATATTTCGATTATGAAGAGATTTTCCATCATCAACTGATTAGATTCTAGAAAAGCGTGAATCTCAAATCACTTTTGTTAGTCGGTTTGTTAAGTGTGATGGATAGTTTGACATCAGTAAGGCTAGTTCATAGATTTTGGCATTCAGCCAACCAGCCAGATTACAGTGGTTTAATCATCGGACAACTGAGCCAGCTAATTAGCTCATTGAGAAACATGGCCAGTATGTGTGAGAGATAAATATATTGCGAGGTCAGCGCTAAAAAAGGAATCAGAGAAATGTGGTTTAGACAACATGACGTAATGGGCATATTGAATTTTGAAGAATATTGGACATTGAATTGAATCTGACTGACTGATTGTTTAACCTGAGTGTCTGCTCAGAATGCATCGACATCTCGTACTCCTGAAGGAAAGTATTCTGAAATTAAGGTATCAACCACCGTTATTTTTATCCTTTCAACTGATATTACTTAAAACTCGTGAGTAGTATGTAGCTGTAGTGCTGATACATCTATATTTTTGATATTACGAAAGCACGTCTGTAGAATAGATGAAAGGCTTCCTGTTGATGATGGATAATGGCTTGGAGGGGAATTCAACTTGATGTGCGTTTTGTGTAAAAAGTGCATTAGTTAGCAGTGAAGAAATGAAAGGCGCTTGAGAATAACCTAGTGGGAAGAAAGGAGTGACTAAGATAACCAAAGATTCACTAGGAATAGTGTTATTACTTGTATTACACCGTCGTTGATTGGACCGAATTGATCAGTTTCTGTTGGCATATGGGCTCCTGTGCGGATGCCTTGATATTGCCTGCGTTTTAATTATGTATAGTGATGATGGGCAGTGGCTATCAGTGAAATCCAGGATGCGCATTCTGTCCTATTTGGGACTCGTCAGCTTGATGTACCTGCCTCCAAACAATAACACTAAAATTATTCTCGTCGCACAAGAAGAGGTTATCGTGGCTGGTAGTGAAGTGGATAATGCTCTGACGTTTGAAGCGATCGCTCCCGAGTCCAATTCCCCATGGGGACAACATCACTCCGCACTAGGAGGCAGGCACATCCAGCTGACGAGTACCAAATAGGACGAAACTCGCATCTTTGATTCCAGCCCATCATTACTACACATTCACTAGGGATAATCAGAAAAACTGAAAGTCCTGAAATGACACTACTTGTAATTTGTAAGTAGTGTAAATTTTCAAGCACAAAAAGCATGATTTGTGGTTTACGATTGCGACCTGCTGGCAGCCTACAGTGGGTTTCATCAGGCTGCGATAATATGCCACTGTCTGTTCACGGTAATCACGCATAGATTAAATAGACTATCAGTTATCCTTACTGATCGTAAGACAGTTGATTAAGCTTTGAGTAGGCTGAATGAGGTGGTTGGAACCCTGCAAAAGGTTCCTGGGAAGGGAATGGAAGTGTTGTTTTATTCATACCTGTAAGATTATTTTAATTTTTGATCATGTTTCACCATTCCTATCCTCTTTTCTTTTTGGCTGTTTTTTTCTCGAATAACTCAATCGATAGCTGATCGCTTCACAGCCAAGTGGAGGTTTTGCTCATTTACACAGAAAATTTGAAAGATATCATAAGAATGTTGCGTAAGTATGAAATTATAATTATTATTTTCTGTGTATATTATGGTGTAATAATAAACAGCCGTCTTATTGTTGTTTACGTTGTAGAATGATAATTTTGTTCAGTTTTTCTCAGGTGAAAGAAAACTGTTAATCGACTAGCTAACAGTTAATTCTGACTCTCATGTTTCGTCCCTATATTGGACTCATCATATGCATGATTGTACTTGCCTCCTAGGACCTCGGAGTCATGGACAATATCTTTTTTGAACTAGTGGGATTGTACTCTCATTCATATTCTCACTGGAATTGGATGAGCATCATCATAAGTAGTGCTATAGTGTGTTTACTAACTAAAGCGTCTGAGATTTCTTTTTACTTGCAGTGCACATCAATTCTTCATTATATCACAGTTATTTGTTGTTGTTCTATCCCATTAGCTTATCTGTTGGGTAGTTTATTTTGATTGGTTAACTGTGGGATGAAATCCTCCAATCACATTTTTCTTGACCACATAGTAATATGTAACAAAAATTGATGTCCAAAACTCCTACTTTAACGACTGATAACTTGATATATTGATTTCCATTCTTAACACAGTGGAATTTAGGATATATATTTCACCCTATTTAGGAATCCCTGGACCTCAATGGCTGATGCTGGTTTCGACCAAGAGCTATTTTAACTGAGTAGTCATGATGAAAATACTTGACAATATGATAATGAATGGAATTTACAGTTTTGAATGGTTATGACATGAGTCTGCATTGAAATGAACAGCGTTTTCTGATTTACATTTGACCTTTGAAAGACTTATCCAATGAGTAGTTAGAGAAAGGTGTTCCAGGTTGAATTTTTCCACCATATAACAGACCTATTGTTCAATTGAAATTGGCAGAAAGAGAGAGTCACCTTATTCCGATGATAAGCGATAATACCCTACTAAGGATTGTAGACCGAAATCAATTTATGCCTATGAAACGTTTCTGTGTCCTACCACTCTTCTCTCATTGGAATCTCTACAAGAAACACGGTCCAACTTGCCACACCTCATATCAGTACATTAAATAGAAAGGTACTGAGGAGAAGGATGAAGATAAGAGAATGTAGCCAAAAGAAAAATAAAGTACGAGAAGGGAGAGAGGAAGAATGAGAAAGTAGTGAGATTCAGCAGTGTCGTTAAGATGAGGATAATGTATGTGGGGATACTTCTGCGCCACTGACTTCCGTTCTCAGCCATGTGATCACCTAGAGTCTCCAAACACTGGTTCCTTTTGTCCCACGGACCCCAACCACCTAGTCTGCACCGCCCCCCCCCACTTCATGGGTTGGTGCCATGTTTTAGTCTGACCACTTCCATCCTTTTTCCAACCTGGACCTACTTCAGCCAACATTGTGTGTGACGAGGCAATCGGTGACTAGGCATACGTAGTACGTGTTCCAACCATCTCAGTCGTTGAATGTTCACAACCGCGTCAACCGACTTACCTTAACTCCCTAAAACTTTACACCTGACCTCTGCATTACTCACATGGTGACACCACAGAATACGCCCTAGCCTATACTACGACGAAGGTAACGGTGGTCAAACACTTGAAGCCTTCTCATGTCCTCCACTTTGAGCGGCCATGTTTCGCAGCCACACAGTAGAACAGGGCGGACTGCTATGCAGTACATGCGACGCTTAATAGACAAACGGATATCACGGCGGTGCCATAGGTGGCGTAAATTGGCAAAAGCCAATCGAGCGTATTGTATCCATGCAGAGATTTTATCGGCCACTGAGCTAGCCACCAGGGTTGATCTTACTTCCCAGGCAAGTGAAGTGGTCAACCCACTCAAACACTTCACTCTCTATTGTTAGCCGCGGTACCGCTGAGGACCAGTCCTAGAGCAAATGAATATGAGAAGTAAATTCATGTACACTGCGTTGTACAAGAGAACGGAAGATATTGCGTAAAGTTTGTAAACTGTTGGAAGGTTAGTAGTTAGTAATTACTGGGAATAAGAATTGACCCTACTGTGCTATGTGTAAGAAGTGTGAATTAGTTGGATAAATTATTCCATTTCCAATAAATATCATTGGTTAAACGGATATGTTTTTATGCAGCTGACTAGTCAGTAATTCATCCTTGAGGAATAACAAGCTACAGGAGGTAAGGCGAGGCGTTTAAACTTGCTTGCGTTGTTAAATATTATTATTATTTGTCCCTTGAGTTCCTAATGGAACCTAGGGCTTCAGTAGCACGATTCCATTCCACTCTGTTGTCTGAAATCTTTTGAACCTGGCTGCAGGACGGCACAGAAGCTCTCATTTCTTCCTCACACGATCTACTTCATGTCACCCTTAACTGGGACGCCCAACTCGTCGTTTCCAATCTGGGTTCTACTCAACTGTTTAGCCTGACGTGTGATGTCCCCAGTCGGCCTTGTCAGTGTATTCCCAATCCATCTCCACTTCCTTCCAGTGCATATTTGTCGAGCGATACCTTCTTGGTTAGTTCGTTGCCACGCCATAGTGAGTTTCTCGTTGCTTATTATTCTGGCCATCTGATCTTCAGTAACGAGCCAGCGTAGGTGGCAGTTGTTGATGAATATCTGTAGTTTGTTAGAAATGCCTTTCGTGATGCGCCAAGTCTCTGAACGATACAGAAGCATTGACTTGATGTTGGTGTTAAAAATTCGGTTCTCAGGCATGTGATCACCTACAGTCAGTCTCCAACCACTGGTTTTCGCTTGTCCCACGGACCGCAACCACCTAGTCTCCATCGTCCCACATGACTCAAGCCAACGGTCAAAGACTTCATACACTGATGCCACGTTTTAGTCTGGCCGCCTCCGACCTTTCTCCAACCTGGACCTACTTCAGCCAACATTGTATGACGAGGCAGACGGCAACTAGACATGCGTAACATACATCTCTACCATCTTAGTCGATGAAGGTTCACAGCCGCGTCAACTAATTTACCTCTTTATACTAAAATTCTACTCACGTGATGATACCACGGAGGGCAACAGTGGTCAAACACTCGAAACCTTCTCATGTCTTCCATCTTCAATGGTCATATTTCACAGGTATAGAGCAGAACAAAGCGGACTGTTGAGCAATACACGCAACCTTTAATGGACAATCGTATATCATGAGAATCAAAACTTGGCACTTTCAAAATAGCCATTTATGATTGACCTCAAAGAGATGTTACCTGAAGATAGTCATTTCTAGGGACTTATATCGATCTCCTGGATTCAAGTAATCAGAGGGGGTTCATATCTGTTCATTCTACTTTACTACCAACTAGCAACTACTGATAATTATCTTTTGTGTGTTTTTTTTTCTTTCTTATCTTCAATAGACCAACATTGACTTATTATCCTCCACGTGTAACAAGTAATAGTAATTTAGAGACACGTACATGGCTTGTTGGTAATGTGAATTATTCAAAATGTCATGAGTTCAAATCTGTTCCACCTCCATATGATACTGTTTCCACTACAATAGTTGACAATATATCATCATATTTAATTTGTTTATCTACAGCTGATGGAAATATATTCCTTGTTGATCCAACACATGAAAATGATACCGATTTAGTAATGTGGTCAATTCAAGTGCATACACGTAGTGAATTATTTGGCTTATGTAAAATGAAATTGACTGTAGGTTCTCTAATTATTTTATTCATGTATAATATTGCTATCTCACCCTTCCCTTATCTCTTTTCTTTTGTGGTACAATAATAAACAATAAGGTTGTTTATGTAAGTAAGATCTTGGTTTGTTGTTTCAAGGTTGTTCTAATGCTGGTGGACTGGGGGAGATATTAGGGTGAGTGAAGTGTGTATCTTTTGGGTCTGACCTTTCTTAACTCCTTCTTCCCCCCCCCCCGCCCCCTTAGGAAAGATAGTATCAACATGACACTGCTGGTCATCGAAGGCTAACACCTTTTGAACCTTTGTAGCATGGTAGGACCTTGACACGACAAGCGTTTCAGGCAGTATCGCTCATTGACTGATTCTGATAAGCTCGACAACTAGGTCAAGATGGCAGCTAGCGGTCGGCCCATTGTTCCACACTGGAAGCGTATTTAAGAACAGAGTGAATAACACACGAAAGCTTAGTATACACACAAAGGGATAAAGATAAACAAAGGTTTGAGGAATGGTACTAAAAAAATGAAAGGCTCATGACATTACTACTCATTATTAATAAGTAGTATAAGTTTAAAAGCAGAAAAAGCACGAACATAGTCATTAGGCTAAAAGGGAAATATAGCCGAGTGAAACCGGATTTAACGGTGGTCTTACATTTATTGATATACATCTAATAGATATTATTACTAGTGAACACATTTTTGTGTATTATATATGTATACTTAGGATGACAGTGGAAAAAACATCACTTACTATGAGACAAGTGAATCCACACAGCTGACGAGTCCCAAATAGAACGAAACATGCTTGCTGGATTTAACTAACATTGCAAGCTGAAAATGCCAATAATATCAAGATATCGACATATAAGTCTATATGTCAATATTGGCGGATTAGTTCTATATGATCAGAGTAGAAGATTCACTTCAACAAACCTATACCTAAAATAACTTGCATAATTCTTATTGTTTCATCATTTTCTTTCTTTCTTTTCATATTTAGAAAGATGATGGTGATCAAATAGTTGTCTGTTCATGGGATGGTGCAACATACATTTTCGATGTAAACAATAATTCTGTATGTTTCCCATTAGGACAATCATGTCAAGCGTTTATCGCTGGTTTGTATGCTATAGAACCTGGTCAAAATTTACCAGTATTAATTTATTCAACATTTGATCGTAACACCCTTATCTATTATAATCTACAATTAGATCATATTGCTGCACAAAGTTTGCATAGTACTATACTAAAAGACCATATTTTAGTAGAGAAGTTACAATCGAGAAATATTGATCGTAAGTGTATAACGATGCATATATGTCTATATAATTTGTCCTTCGGCTTCCTAGTGAAACATAGGGCTTCAGTAGCACGTCTGCAAATGTTTGAACCTGGCTCCATAACAGCCGAGAAGCTCTCATTTCTTCCTCGCATGATCTACTCCATGTCACCCTCAGCTGGGACGTCCAACTCATCGTTTCCCATCTGGGTTCCACTCGAGCAACTGGCTTGATGCTTGATGTCTACGAATGGTCTTCTCAGTGCATGCATGCCCAATCCATCTCCACTTCCTTACAGTGCATATTTGTCGAGCGGATACCTTCTTGGTTGGTTCGTTGCCACCCACAGTGACTTCCTTCTTGCTTATTCTTATTATTCTGGCCATCTGATCACCATCTTCAGTAACGAGCCAGCTTAGGTGGCAGTTGTTGATGAATAACTGTAGTTTGTTGGAAATCCCTTTCGTAACGCGCCAAGTTTCTGAACCATATAGGAGCACTGACTTGACGTTGGTGTTGAAAATCCGCATCTTGTTCCACATGCTGAGTGCAGAAGATCTCCACATTGGTTTCAGGTTAATGAACGCCTATCTTGCTTTCTTTCCGATCCTGGCTGGCTTTGACGTCGTCGTCTGTTCCGTCTGTAATTGAAACCGTGCTACCTAGATAGGTGAAGGAGGCTACTTCCTTTAACTTTCTCCCATTGATGATGGTCGGAGCTTGTTGTTTTTGGTAGTGGTGTTGGTTGGGTATCTTCATCACCTCAATCTTCTCTACGTTCACTTGAAGGGATTCCCGTCTTCGCTGCCCTGCCCTGCCTCTTCTGTCAACTTGTTAGTTTTCGTGTGTAAATCTTCAAGTTTGTGTGACATTAGACATAAGTCATCATTGGCGAAACCCAAATGTAGGATCTTTTCCCCTGTCCAGCCAGCGTATGCCCCTCTTCTCGCTTCTCACTGTTTGTTGCATAACCCAGTCTACTACCAGCAGGAATATCGTGGGTGATAGTAGGTGGCAGCCTTATCTTACTTCTGTCTTCACTTTAAAGGCATCACTGAGCTTCCCATTATGAATTACTTGGGATGTGGCGTCTTCATATAGTTGTTGAATGAGATTGATAAAGGTTTGTGGTATTCTGTAGTGTTGAAGCAACTGTCTTCCAAACTACTTATCTGTCGACGCTGTCGAAGGCATTTTCAAAGTCGATGAAGTTGAGGTAGTGGTATAGTTGACTGCCATTCTATACTGTGTTGTATGATGATGCGTAGCGTTGCAATTTGATCTTGACATAATTTGTACTTCCTGAAACCAGCCCTTTTTGGACGTAGTTTTGAATCCAGTGGATGCTTTAGTCTCTCCAGGATAATGCAGCATACTATTTCGCTTGCTTTGAGTGGACAGGAGTGGAGCATGATACCGCACCAGTTCTTGCAAAGATTTAGGTCTCTGTTATTCGGGAGTTTGACAAGATAGCCCTTCTTCGAATCTTCAGGTACCTTCCCTTCCTTCTAGACCTGTAATAGTGGTATATATATATATCCCTGATAATATGAGCATAGATGGTGAGGAGAGACACTTTCTCAGATGACATCCTCTGACATCAAACCCCACGATGGATACAGATAGCTCACATTGCTGTAAGTCATCGTTCGAGAGACTACACAGAGAATTGCCATAGCTTTTTGGACTCCGGTCCCGCGCTAGTGCAGGTTTGTGTATTTCTGCACCTTACTGGTAGCGGGAAATTGACGATAGCAGAGCCTTTCTATGCTCGATTGGAAGGTGTAAACGTCGAGTCCGAGATAGCTAAGCATTTGTGTAAACATGACAGGAATACTCGTCGTGAGGAATACTGGGATGACATTCAGTTCACTGTAGAAATGACGGTTAAGACAGTTGGTAACCTACACCTGGAGGTTAACAAACGTCATTAGATTTCGGCGAGGTCATTCGAACTGATTGATGTTGGAAGGCACATTCCAGCTGGATGGGTCTGATCATGATGAAGCGCAAAAGCAACTCAAAGAGTCTTCCGGTCGACCGCAAGCAGTGGTGAATGGTGAAAGCTAAAGAGATGGAGAAGGTATCAGCATTGGGTAAAACCCGGCAACTATTTAGACTTATTAGGGATACCGGCAAGGAGAGGATGATGACTAGTGAAACTGTCACCGCAAAAGATGAGATTCTGGTAACCTGTCAAAACGTTGAACAGAACACTTTGAAGCACAGTTCAGCATGAACCTGAATGGGACGTAGACATCGGTCCTCCAACTCTCATTGAAGTTGAAAGAGCTGTATCGAACCTGACATGACAGGGGTACTAAGTAGTGTATGGGAGTTAGAGGTAGGCCCATCGAACTGGTGTACTTCACTGATCATCCCAGTCTATAAGAAGGAAGAGATGTCCTCCTGTGACAACTATAGGGGAATTGGTTTGTCTGATGTTGTGTCCAACATCCTAGCGTATAAAGTCATCTGACACCTAACTGCAGCTTGAGGACAGGAAACTAGAAAGGACCAAGCAGATTTTAGACCTGGAGAAGGGTCAATCGATCATTTTGTCACCCTCCAACAGCTTCTGTGAAACAAGCATGTCCACCTTTGGCAGACACTTACCCTAATTCTTGTACTGAAGGGGCATTTGACTATGTTAACGGTGAGATGTTATTGTTTGTGTCTGACTGTAAAGGGGGAATACCAACCAAGTATATAATACTTATCAAAGTTCTCTACTCGTGCACAAAGGTTAACAGTGTATAATGTCTTGTCATATGGCTGTGAAACATGGCCGGTAAAGGTAGGAGACATTAAGTAGCTACAGGTTACAGTATGAAATAGTTTGAACATGTTCTCTGCATGCAGAGCCACCACCTACCTCGATGTGTCATACTAGGAGAAGTTGGAATAGGGTTCAGAGTGGTCAAACTAAACGGTGGCACCAGTCGATGAAGTCCCTGACTGTTAACTTGAGCTATGTGAGGAGATAAAGACACCTGCAATCTCAAAAGAAAATGATTGAAGACTGTTCTTGACTTTCTCTTTCAGACTAGTAACTGGATAATAATTGATGGGTTGGTTTAACTCTGTCGATCATTTAGGCGATGTGAGGAGTAGTCGAAGTGATAAAATTTTGTGTTTGCTGGTGTTTTTTCCAGGATACATTAGTTACATTCACGTAGTAGTGATATATATATATTGTACATTTGATTAATAAACTTCGACTATCACTTAGTTGCTGATAATAGCTAATTAATTGACATGTGGTGCTTCTCATCATAGATGTCTAAAGTGTTTCTATGAGACTGCCAGCAACTTTTGTTAACTTACTCCATCTATGGCGCCTTCGGAAAATTTGATTGTCCATTAATGGTCGAGTGTATTGTACTGCACTTCGATATGTTCTACTGTATGGCTGTGAAATATGAAGATATGAGGTGGTAAGTCAGCTGATGCGGTCATTGACTGAGATGGCTTGCTGGGATATGTGTTATTCATACCTAACCACCGTCTACCCTGTCGTAAAATGTTAGTCGAAGTAGGTTCATGCTGGAAAATGGCTTGGAGGGTGTGTGGCCAGACTAAAACATTCGATCAATGTATGAAGTCGTTGACTGCTCATTTGAAGCATGTAAACTAGCTGGTTAGAGTCCGTGGGACATCTTCCGTTTTACTGCCTTGTTACTTGGTTCTATTTTCAAAGGCTAAGCAAACCAGCTGTTGGTTCGAACCCTTCTGGTTTACAGCCTAGACAATAAGAATCAATGATTGTTGATTGAGAATCGGTCATACAAGTTTACTTCAGTACCTTCTCTCTTTATCATCTTCGTAGTTTTGAATATTTTCATTGACCCTCCTCCTCCTCCTCTCATATACCTTTTGTCTACGTTAACGTCACTTTTTTCCTATTCACTTCTTGTTTTCAGTTTTCTAGGTCAACCAAACGTTACCAACAGATAGGAAAGGCTTTTGACTAGGCGCATATGCATGAGAACGATGTACACATAGGCTATGCACTCCTACTAATAGAGAAGGCTTTGAAGTCCCTCGTTAACAGAGACGGTATGTAGTGCTCGCAGCCTGGGTTTATCCCTCTAAGACCTGTCCCATCAAACACTACGAATATCGACCGTCTTCCCACCTCGGTTGAACGGCGCTGCCTAGGCATGGTTTACTGACCAGGTTCATGAGTCAATCGACAACTGTTTCCGAAGACCCGATTTCGAGCGATGATAAAAGCTTCATCAATTTGAGTGTTTAATAGTGGCTGTTGATAAATTGAAGTGATTCACGCCCTGCCCTTATGTTCTACATTAGTCTGTCTGTTATTCCTACCCACTGAGTAGTTCTGTCTCACCAATGATTACGGGAACCTCGCCTGGTTAACTAGTTCACTAGTTACTAGCCTGTCCTAAGCCCGGGTAAAGAGAGAAGGTTGGGCATACGGCTAGCAACCGTAACCCGTAAAACCAATCTAACCGCTACAGAGACTTCGAAATAAGAACAAACTTATTCTCCGCTGGAATCGGAGAGATGAAATGACGCCGGTTGGTGAAAGCCTTTGGGAAGCCGATTGGCCGATGTGTCTTCTCCTGATGAAAGCGAAAGTAAATGTGGGGACATGGAATATCCGCACCATGTGTTTGAACCTAGCAAGGCTGCCCAGATTGCAAATGAGATGAGAAGGTACAGCATTAAAGTGCTAGGAATCTGCGAAAGCAGGTGGAATGGAAGTGGACTCTCCAAGCTGGCAACTGGAGAGTCAGTTAACTCAGTGCTCCTATATGGTTCAGAAACTTGGCTCGTTACGAAAGGGATTTCCAACAAACTACAGTTATTCATCAACAACTGCCACCTAAGCTGGCTCGTTACTGAAGATGGTGATCAGATGGCCAGAATAATAAGAATAAGCAAGAAGGAAGTCACTGTGGGTGGCAACGAACCAACCAAGAAGGTATCCGCTCGACAAATATGCACTGTAAGGAAGTGGAGATGGATTGGGCATGCATGCACTGAGAAGACCATTCGTAGACATCAAGCATCAAGCCAGTTGCTCGAGTGGAACCCAGATGGGAAAC